TGGTGATTGAAGTGGAGAGGCATGTTTTGTATAAAGATTTAGTAGAGAGGTTAATGGGTTTAATTAAAAAAAGGGGAAGTGGATGAAACCATTAAGAAAGGGGAATGGGTAAATGATCATTAGAATGGACTTATTTCACCAAGGGTGTCGTCCAAATAGTATACAATAAAAACTTTAATCTAAGATGCTCCAAAAGAGCAGTTAGAACTAACAAGAGGTGTAATTTAAAACAACTTAGAGAATTTGGGTGTAAATTAAAACCATGATGAATTAAGAGTCTGTACGAAAAGATGGAACATTTTACGGCCTGATATGAGAAAATCTTTATTTCAAAATTATTATTGACTATCCCTGAATCTGATAATTGCAGGAAGGTCTTGCTATGATTGATGATGGCCACAGAGATGGGAAGCGGAGATATTGGTTTCCTTGTGTATCTTCTATTTCTTCTGCCACAGGATCCGAAGGTTTGAAGATTTGATAGTAGTGTTTGATCCAGGTACACTATTGTAATCTTAATCTGGTTTATGGGAATTAATATGACTGCAAAAGATTTAACAATAGCACGCCTATGTTGCTTTCTTGTCAACATTGATACTATAAATACTTATAATCTTCTTGTATAAGTGTTTCTTTTTCAGTTTGGCAATTATAAAATTGATTAGGTTCATGTATCAGCTAGCTGTGGTATATCTGCATCTTTAGAAACTCACTAGTAGAAAAACAATCAACCTAGACGGAAATTTCCGTCTAGATTGATTGCAATTCCGTCTAGATTAGGTCATCTAGACGGAATTCCGTCTAGTTTGAGTGGTTTATTTTGCTTCCGTCTAGATTGCTTCAAACTAGACGGAATTCCGTCTAGGTTGATCAATCTAGACGGAATTTCCGTCTAGGTTGGTTTTTTACAACCTAGACGGAAATTCCGTCTAGGTTGATTCAATCTAGACGGAATTCCGTCTAGATTGCCTTTTTTCAGGGAAAAAAAATTAATTATAATTTGTATTTCCCTGTACAATTACATTAATATTTGAATATATTCAGAAAATACTGTACACGCCACATTCAACCATCCAATCATAATCAAAATTCATAACAATTCCATTCAAAAACATATATATAACCAAATCCAACACATTGTACAAATCCAACCATCCACTTCAAAATATACATCAATCAGTTCCGTCTAAAACACATCCAACAACATATATACTAACAATGCCAGTGACTAAGATATGATACACGACATGAATAAATGTAGTGTTATAACAAATAAAACTGTTTATTGCATTAAAAATAAAAAAACCTCATCCATCGTCGTCGGCGGGGGTATCTCTATCCCGATTACGAGAACGGGTGCTGCTCCCTTTAATATCTCCACTCTGAATGTTTAATTGAATAATCATTATGTGGTGTTTGATAACATATTAGATAAAAATGAATTTATAAATATAAGAAAAAATAAGGTACCTGAGCACTACTCTGTCTAGCGCCGGAATTATCGTCAATCGAGCTAATGATCCGTATGACACCACCATATGCGCTATAAGGAATAGCACCGCCTAAATATTGTATAACATACCCCATGAGATCGTCCATCGAGTTCGCCGTTAGCGCAACTCTAGTCATCTCATTAGTCACCTGAATATGCAGCCCCGGGTCAATTTTATCAATCAGATACGCAGAGATACGTGCGACAAATGGCATAGCCTGGAAACTGCTTGTGGCTGCTCTCGTCGATGTAGATGGTGTGGAGGATGCTGTGGACGATCTGATGCTTATACCAGGTGAAGCTCCGACACCATGTAGAGGATATCTTCCTCTCCTATTATTAGGGAGAAATAAATATTAAACTTTGCTCTCAAATTCAATAATGGTAAACAAATATAAATAGTATGTAGTATTCAAATTGATTCGATTTTTCACCATCCTTACCTATTATGACCCATCAGGTTCTGTGTGAGATTGATGTTCTCCTCTGCAGAAAACATGTGAGGGTCTGGCTCGGTTTGTTCCTCCTGCGAAATGTAGACAGATGCAGCCTCCTTGGATGCGGTCTCAAATCCCTCCTAAAGCACAAATTTATAGTTAATTCAAGATAATGACCATATTATTTGTGTTCTCGTTTCCTCGTAGTGTTAACAAAATAGAATTAATAATACTACTCAAGATATGTATAAGTCTCACCACTAACTCGAGATTTGCCGTGATCTTATCCCGATTCCTCTCATCACCCCTATATTGTTCACGAAAAGTACCATATGCCGCTCTGGCCCTCAAGTGTATCGGCATTAATGATTTCCCCTGTCATATTATAAATTATGAGATTTCATAATCATACTAAACATTAAGATCTTTTAAATCTTTAAATGACATATACCGTATCTTGACAATAAACATCCTCCAGATTGGCGTAGGAGTGTGAGCCCAAGTGATGGTCATGCAGCTTCTTTCTTCTATTTTCTGACCCCTTCGTGGATTTATTCTTTAAAAAAATTCTGTAAATATAAAATGAAATAATATCTTAAAATTATAAACTAAATTTCATGAAACTAACCTTGGCGGCATCGCTGTCCCAATACATGAGGAGAGCCGTGAAATGAATCTCGTCAACTCGGTCATCGAGGTTTAAAAACCTCTGCCAGTCCTCCTCATACCTGTCATAGGTTTCATGTTTGATCTCATGCCTCCATTGTTTGAGGATTGCTTCAACCTTGACATTAAACACATAATTCCAAGCCCCCTCAAAGTCCTCAAGACAGAAGCAGTTCTGTAGATTTACATACACATTTAGTAAGGATAATTTAATATCAATTACTAATTATTAATAAATGAAAATCTAAAACAATATGTACTTACCATAAGGGCAGTCCATATCGCCTCGTATGCGGTCCACGGTAATTCTCGAAAATAAAAATAAGGGTTGATAATGGTCGCTCTACGCACGAGAACCCCAATATATGCATTCAATCGGGTCGACCAAGGACCAACGGGCAAATTAGAACTATTCCACCTAATAATGGCCCTCATTCCTCTTGGCGGTTGTTTAGAATCAGGCTTACCCCCGCCACGTCGTCCCTCTATGCGATCCTTCTTAGCACCTAAAATAATGACAACATGATAATATATCATATAATATACAAATGTGAAAATTAAAAGTATTTATATAATTTACCATTCGCTATCTCTCTTTCTTTTGTTGCGATTGCATCAGCTTTCCTAGTCTCCAACGTAGGAAGCATTTCCTGATACCTTCTCGCAGCACGTGGGTGGTACTTTCTTGAGTCAGCCTTGGACTTATGAGAGTCCGGAGGTAAAGGTAAACTGAGAAAGTCCTGGGTCTTTAGCCGCAAATCAGTATGGAATGTATATGATGGATATGTCGGGGTCCAAGTAGCACCTACATAAGAAAGAAGAATCAATAATATTAAATTTTAATTGACCATTATCAATTATTAAATATTTAATACCTGTGTCGGGGGATTGTTCTGGTGCTGCATCAGAACCGCCGGGTGATGAATATCCCGCATCTGCAACAAATGAACACTATGAGCTAGATAACTAAAATTTTATAAAATATATTAAAGTATTAATTAATTTTTATACCTGCATCTGGAGAAGGTAGTGGATCATCAGCACCACTACCTGACGTGATACTCCGTGATCGATCAGTCGGCTGGTCAAAGAGCCTCCTAATCCTCCTCATCTGCAAATATAATAAAGACAATTGTTAAGAAAAAATTGTATACATGCTCATGAGATATGTTGTTATGAAATGCATTATTGTTTTTATTATGATAAGATAAAAATCGATAATGTGGTGTAACATATATAGTTCATACCTACATCCAGCGCCACATTCTGTGCGTAAGAGAATTCTTGCCAAACATCATCAGATGAACCGATTGGTTCACTATAATTATCTTCACTTTCTTCAATATTTTTTTCATTGTTATTAGGAAGAACAACAGATCTTGGCTCCTTGTACAAAACCACCCAATCAGACATGACATTCGGATCTTTCACATAGAAGCACTGATCAGCTTGTTCTGCGAAAATGAATTACTCATTCGTATATACTTCTCGGTGAAGATTGACTAGTGTAAATCCATAATGATCCTTTTGCTTTTTTGCAGGACACCACCGAACCTTGAACATCGTGTAAGTACATTGTTTTGGTTTACCAAACCCGTAAATTACCTCAACGATATCTTCTAATTGGCCATAATATAATATGTCAGCTAGAATTGGATTCTGATCTCTTATACTTGAAAAACATTCTTGGGCAAACAAGCCCATGACCCCACTGTTCTGAGTTACCCTCCTATCATCGGTCTCTAATGTTCGAAATTTATATCCTCAAAAAATGAGGCCTAAGGCTTGTATTTATAGGCATGAGGGGTTGCGGAGCGGTTAAAACGGGCTAAAGGCCCAAATCTGCCTTGGAGGGTGTCTCTCAAAATCCGGGACACCCCTGGGGTGTCTCACAAAATCCGAGACACCCCTGGGGTGTCTCGGAATTTCCGAGACACCCCTGGGGTGTCTCACATTGGCCGAGACATTCCGTTGAGGTACATTCGTCCACTTCCGCTGTAAATTCTTCGTCCGAACTCGGATTTTAGTGATTCGAAGTGCGTTGGAAGTCTGACGAAGAGTTCTATCAGCTCCGATGGTTGGATTATCTGTAGGATGAACGAGACACGAAGGGCGTTGTTCTTTTTGTAACATCGCGGGGCTCTCGATTAGCCCGTGCTTTCGTTATCCCGAAATTCCGTCAGCTCACGTAGTTCGTCGGTTCACTTCAATCGTTCACCGACGTCAGTCGAACTCATGTGAACCAGATAGTGACGTTCATTGTCGTTCCTTAACACTGAGCTGTTCGTGGAGACCTATAGGCAATTTTCGATGCCTACAGATACCCCCTCCAAAGCGTTCCAGACTCGTTTCTTTTATAGAAGAGGCTGAAATACTTTGGATGTGATTTGGCCTAGCCTTCAGTCGGCGTAAAGGACCTGTAGTTAGCTTCAACCCTTGACTCCTTCGATTTTCGGTCTATCCAATGCTTTGACGAATAGCCGAAGTTCTTCCGGCGCTGCGTTTATCGCTTGGCCGTCGTCGGAGTCTTGAGTCTATAGCTGATGAATTGAGTTTGGCTCGTGTCATTGAGTTGACTTTGAACTACCTCCGTCACATTGTGTTGACTTAGGGTTTCAGAGCACCGTATGTTGACTTTTTGTCGCAACGCGTTGACTGGCGTTGACCTAGGGTTACGCGTTGACCGGCATTGACCCTAGGGTTTCGAACGTCGAATGTTGACTTTTTGGTCGCAACGCGTTGACTGGCGTTGACCTAGGGTTACGCATTGACCGGCGTTGACCCTAGGGTTTCGAGCGTCGAGCATTGACTTTTTGGTCGCAACGCGTTGACTGGCGTTGACCTAGGGTTACGCGTTGACCAGCGTTGACCCTTAGGGTTTAATTCTGGTGTCTTCTTCAATCGGTAAAATACTAAACCGGCAACGCGTGTTAGGCGTTGGCTTATCCCTGCTTAGGCTTCGGGATAAAATTCCCCATGCATAAAAGGCATGGATTTTTGTTGCTACGATGCTGAATACGTAGACTCGGTCGTTTTTACGGGAACGAACCACCCAGCAACGCAGGTTAAGCGCTGACTT